AATTCAGTCCGGAAAAAAGCTAGGAGCAACAAACACCCGGGGGGTGAGCTTCTGGTTAGCAGCTCCACATGGAGGAGGAGATCTCCTCAGGCTTCGTGCCCGTTGCTAGTCAGGAGTTCGACCCCGTGACTCAATTCAGTCCGGAAAAAAGCTAGGAGCAACAAACACCCGCGGGGTGAGCTTCTGGTTAGCAGCTCCACATGGAGGAGGAGATCTCCTCAGGCTTCGTGCCCGTTGCTAGTCAGGAGTTCGAAACCCCGTGACTGCATTCACCTGGTTTCCCTTAGTCATAGGGTGGGGACGGAAACCCGGGGGTTTTACTGGTTACCCGTGTATGTTTGTATTCCCCTTGGAAAAAAAAAAAATCAACGGACCAGCGAACCCCCCTGCCAGCGGGCCCCACAATATCAAGGGTGGTCCTCATGTCATTTCCCCATCTTCTCCGTGATCGAGATTCTCGTTCCGAAACCCCCCAAATTTCCCCCCCACTAAAAGTGGCGAATAACTAAAAAACCCTCAAAATTCTACTCATCTTTGAACCACAGTAAAATAACCCTAATTTCGACGAGAAATGATGTGAAGATCTTTAACTAGGGTTTCTGATCAATGGCGTCGGATAATCTTCGGAGGATCGAGAGCGGGCTGAGCTCTCGGTTGATCTTCCCAGACGAAGCGATCCACTTCTCTCGCTCCGGNAAAAGAAGAGAGATAAAAGCTAGGAGCGAACAAACACCCGGGCGGGGTGAGCTTCTGGTTACAGGCTCCACATGGAGGAGGAGATCTCTCAGGCTTCGTGCCCGTTGCTAGTCAGGTTCGAAACCCGTGACTGCATTCACCTTGTTCCCTTAGCATAGGGTGGGGACGGAAACCGCGGGGGTTTTACTGTTACCCGTGTATGTTTGACCTGGGCCACCGGTCCTCTCACTGCCGCGGCCATGCTTGCCCGTGGGATGAGTCCCTCATTTAAGTGAGGTAGCTCCTTGTGATTGTGGGACTGCGTGATTCGATCCAGGGCTGTTGGCCGGGGCTCCAAAAGAGTTAAACTGAGCTGGGGTGATCAAGTTTCCCCTTGGGAAAAAAAAAAATTCAACGACCAGCGACCCCCCTGCCAGCGGGCCCACAATATCAAGGGTGGGTCCTCATGTCATTTCCCCAGTCTTCTCCGTGATCGAGATTCTCGTTCGAGAACCCCCAAATTTCCCCCACTAAAAGTGGCGAATAACTAAAAAACCCTCAAAATTCTACTCATCTTTGAACGCACAGTAAAATAACCTAATTTCGACGAAGAATGATGTAAGATCTTTAACTAGGGTTTCTGATCAAGTGCGTCGGATAATCTTTCGAGGATCGAAGAGGCGGGCTGAGCTCTCGTTGATCTTCCCAGACGAAGCGATTCCACTTCTCTCGTCCGGCGCGGTGACCACACCGCACCGTAAAAAGCCGCCGGAGACGGCGGCGGATTCGATATTGATGGCAGGTCTCAGACGGATCGCATAACCGTGGCTGGATTTTTGGTGGTAGATCGCGTTCGGAGGGATCCTATGGTGAGGATGAGGAGGATTATGATGTGGATGATGATGATGATCTCGATGAAGCCGATGGTTTGGTTTCTCTTGATGATAACAATAATAATGTAAAGAATGGGAATAATAGTAGCAGTAGTGAACACAGTACTTTAGAGAAAGAGAACGGAGAGAAGAGCCATTCTCCTTTTGGTGAGTTAAAAAATGTTTTTTTTTAAAGTTTGGTGGGATTATGTGATGATTATGAACTTTGCAGGGTTGAGGAGAGGAATGATGGTTAGAGATATTAACTTAAGCGAGCAGGAGCAGCAGCAGCAGCAGCAAGAGCCCCTGGGCAACTATGAAAATGCAATAAGTGTTGTACATCCTGAATCATATTGCTCTCAGAGTATGAATGGGGGAGATGGTTCCAGTTCTGTTCAGAGAGAGACGAGGGGAGAGAATGGGTATGTGTTTGGTGGGAGGAAGGAGGCTGCGGTGCATATGGATCCGGGGGAATCCCTGAGGTCGCACTTCGTGGATTCTATAACGTGAGTTTCCTTCAATTACATTTGTTATATTTTTACTCGAATTGGAAATCATATCTGTTTATTGGGCTGAATTATCTCATGCTTACGAAAATGTTAGTGAAAATTTGTGCTATGTTTGGTTAGTTATGGAATAGAAAGCATTTGGGAAAGAGAAGTGGAGGGAAATGAAATGCATTCATTTTGTGCTCACTCTCATATTTTTCACATTGAAATTGTGGACACATTAATTTTTGGATAGTATTCTCTTCTTCACTAAATTGTGCTCCTTTTTCTCACATTGTGTTCATATTGGTGCTCAATAGAGTTTTCCAGACAATCAGGTAAAGGAATGGAGTTCAGTGCATATTCACCCAGAAATTACTATAGTTATAATTTTAAGAAAATATTAATTTGTTGTGAATTTATGTAGTTCTCTGATTGGCTCGTTTAATTTGTATCGAAACATGCCTAGACTAGATGCTGAAGATCTTTATGTAGTTCTCTGATGAGCATGCAGTTGTCATACAATGCCACTGTTCCCTCCTTTGTATCCAGTACTTGTAGGTTTGGGCTTAAAGATGGATAAACAAAACAATACACCTACCCTTCTTTACTTGATATAAACTGTAGAGGAATTCATTTTGCCTCGGTACAGTAAAATTATTACCTCGAGTATCTAAACATCTGTCTTTAGATGATGAAAATCTTATGAAAGGGCTATGCAGAAAGCAATCAGTTAGCTTATTAGGATGATTGCAATACTGGTAACCAGTCTTTTAGGAACATGTCTGTGTGTTAGCTATAATTCTAGATCGAATAATCTGAAAATCAGCACACAAGCAAGCACTAATGCTTATTCTTGTTGATTAAATTTGCATGTTTCCACGTGACCTTTCCCTAACTATTTATTACATCATGTTATACACATTAAAAAAAATGTGAAATCCTCCTCCGAAGCAGCAGGGAGATTTTAGCACTGTATCCTTTAACCATTCTCTTTCTTATTTAATAGCGACTCTTTAACTAGCATCAGTACTCTACACTGGTTGTGTAATGTTCTCAACAAAATGCATGTTTTTTCCTAATAGTTTTTCCTGATCATATATATGAAGCCTTAATTCAACATAGAGAAAGCATCAGATTTAGCTGCTATCTTGCGTGTTAACGTTCCAAGGTCTTACCTCCATGATGCTTAATTGGCTTCTTTTGTGCCAAATGTTTTTCTCAGTGGTGAGCTGATGGATGATGCAATGATCCTACCATGCGGCCACTCTTTTGGAAGTGGTGGAATGCAGCATGTTTCCAGAATGGTACGACATAAAGACATGTGCATTACTCTACCATCACAATCAGTTTAAATGTTATGTAAGAAATTAGAACATTTCTAACATGCTAATATAAAATGCTAATCTACAAAATTTGCATTGGAAACATTGAAAGTAGTCATAGGATATCTTACATGACAGTAGCTAAATGTCTTTCAAATTAGAAATAACCCTCAACAATGAGTTAGTTATGTTTGTGAGAAAATTTCCTGAGTGCAGCTTTATAGTAGATAGAAATGTGGCATTTTACCATTTTCTAATTGTGATGATTGATATGTCAAACTACATGCTCCATTTTTTTTATCAGTTGTGAAATTCCTTCTTTTATGTTACCCACTTCTTAGATCATAGCTGTTTGGAAATATTAGTGCTTGTTTCATCTTACAAGATTCTTTGCAACATTTTTATTTGCCATGATTTAAATTGAACCGTCCTTAGTGGAACCTAGATGTGGCTATGTCTATAGGGACTACGTTATGTAGTCACTTGTGTAGTGTTTTTGACCTTATACTTGCAATTTTGTTTTGCTTCAATACTACTTCATGTTGCCCTTTCAACATTTACAGTATGCTGTCCTGATCTTTCACCACTCTGATGAGTTTGATTTTTTGAGGCACTCATGCCATATCATTTTAACAGACTTATTCTTGACATGTTGTGATTTATATATACTTATCTAGTCTGAATTCATTTTCCTAGAAACAACTTCATCTGTTACATCAGTCCAATGAGCTTTAGAGAATCATTGAGCTTTCATGAATTTAGAATAAAGAACAACATCGCCCATCACTTTGTTACTATGCATTCATTGTATACTTTTTTTCATATGTTCAGTTAAACAGTCAATTTCTTTTGTTGAAAAATGTTTTTTAATCCTTGCACTACCCATTTAGGGGTTCCCAATATTACCTAATTCACAGACATTGGAATTTTGATGCATGACTGGATTCTTGTTGCCTTCTAAACTGGGATTAGCAAAACTAATAATCAAGAATGAATGGAAGAGGAAACAATTTGATTCAGTGACTTGTTTTTATATTTTTTATATTTTTTATATTTTTGCCTATTAGACTTTATTCTGGTTTTTAAGACTTGTGCTGTTGTCTTTAAAGATTGGACTTTGCACTTTGATTATTTACCTATTTAATTTTGGTTCACATTTTTTATATGAACCAAAACTAGATGCTTTATGTTTTTTTTTAATGATTTGGCCCTTATCAAGGATAGACAAAAAGATTGATGCTGCTAATACTTCTTAATTATTAATTTTTACGTTTGCAGTTAATTTTACATTTTTTCAAATGTATATGTTTCTGTGTACAATGTTGTGTAGAATAAATTACCTGAGAGAATGCTCCTAAGAATATTGACTTACACATTTACTACTTTTCATTTGACAAGGGCTTCCGTTTCCCTAGGGGAACTAGTTGAGGACTAGCGATCTGTTTAAGCCTACACTGCTAGCTCACAAAACAAATGTACCATTAACCAAATCTCAAATTTCCTTTTATCTTGATCTTAGAAAAAGAAGAAGAAGAATGAAGTATAGGTGGCATACTAGGTATAGTCAGAACCCAACCAGTATTGTCTGGAAGAAGGTGCGTAGTCAGCGGTCAGGAATACATCCGTGCATAGGTTGTGAAAGTGAAATAAAAGGAAGATGAGGGAAACAGCGGAAAAGGATGAAAAGAGAGAGGAGGAAATCAAAGCACACAGTAAACTTAGGCTTCATTTGCTTCACTTAAATCCCATTCAAAATTTCCTTCTCCTTTTTTCCGACGAAAATATGATATTAGTGGATATATCTGTTGTTTACCATTTTACCCTCATCCTTAACTCCACAGTAAATTGAACTCATAAAGTATAGTTAGTTTCAGTCTGTCTGGATATTCTTTATTTAAATAAATAAATAAATAAACTCTTTGTTTCTCAATATACAGCTTACAGTGCCTCTTGTTTGAAGATTTGAAAAGCCTATACTTGCATTGCTGAGGCACTGCATGTTGTAATTTTATTGTGAACGTCATCTTTTGTGTTTAAACATGCAGAAAGCTTGTTGTAAATGTTCAAGGCCTATTTCAGAAGATGACCGTGTGCGACCAAATTTAGGTACAATTACTTCTACTTTCATGATGTTATCTGATATTGAATTTAAATATAATAAACTTTGCTGATACGGAAGCGTAGCCAAAAATGATGCTTCTAAATAAAGGGGAAAAAGAGCCATATAATAAACTTTGCTGATACGGAAGCGTAGCCAAAAATGATGCTTCTAAATAAAGGGGAAAAAGAGCAAGATGAAGAGTGCTATTTAGTTACCTATCTGCAGTTGTATATTCCTAAATATTAACTACTAATATCTGTGACCTATATGATTTCTGAAATGTAGTATCTTGACCATCTTTTTTCTTGTTCCAAATGTTATTTATGACTTTTCGTCTATCTCTGTTTGCTTCTCACTTTCCTAGCATGGGATTTATGTCGGTATGTATTTGCCAGGATATTTTTTGAGTGTTCATGAGGATGTAACCAAACAATTTTGATTATCCAAGTTATTTGTTTAATGTAGAGCACTCTTTAGGAATTATTGACATGCTCTGAATTATGTTTACCTTTTCTTTGACTCTGCTGGCAACTCATGCCCATTGATGTATTTCTTTTCTTTCCACATTCATATTACTTATATGATTATGAGAATTTGTCTTGTTATTCTTGTTATAGTAATTTTATACTCGTGAATTCTCTGTTTCTTCACATTTCTACAGCTCTACGTTCTGCTGTTCAAGCATTTCGCAGAGAGGGGGAACAAACCTCAAAAGTGGCTAAAAGAAGAAGAGACAGATTTGAGCAGGTGATTGTCTTGGGATTTTTAGGAACAAACCTCAAAAGTGGCTAAAAGAAGAAGAGACAGATTTGAGCAGGTGATTGTCTTGGGATTTTTGTTTTTCCAGCTTTGCATGTAGTAATTTATCTTGGGATTTTTGTTTTTCCAGCTTTGCATGTAGTAATTTACAGTCCTCTGTTACTTCTTTACAATTTACCAGGATAAATGTAGCCCCAATGATCCATATTCTATGGATTCACGGGGTAAAGGTGTTCAGTTCCCTTTTATGGTCTCTGACCGAGTCATAATCAAGGTATGATTTTGTTGCATCTGAAGAGAACTGATTTAATCGTGACACTTTTTTAGTATTGTACTGAAGAGATATATCTCAGGGGAACAAGAGGACGCCGGAACGCTTTGTCGGACGTATTGCAGTTGTAACAACACAATGCTTAAACGGATGGTTTGTAGTTCATACTTCATTATTTTTTAATGCTAACTTCGTATATCCCCTTAACCTGGCCTGTTTTAAACAGGAGCAAGATGGACCAACTCTGGCCTGGCTTAAGGGCTTTAACATGAACTAAAAAAAGTGGGCTAGAGTTGGCCCAGTTTTTTCCCAAACACAAACTAGCCAAAAACTGGACCAGGACTAGACCTGGCCTAGTTTCATGGGTTTGCCAAACAGGCCCTAGTATACATTATATAAGTGGCCACACGCTGTTTATATTGAGTTTCCACTTTCCACGCATTTTGCTTGTAAACGGGATTATTTTTTGTTTCTAGTTTCTCCGTGGAGCTTTGTAGTTTCATTCTCTCTTTTAATTCTGTTTGCACGGTGCGCACAACTGTTTGGAATTCCACGTTCTCACATACCAACAAATTTCATTTCCCTGAGGTATTAAATAAATTACCATGCGAGTTGTTGAAAAAGGTGTAGATCAAACTCACCTCAGGCGACGAAGAGCTCCGGCGAGCTCATGGATGTTGCAGGCGTGCGTGGGCAACGAACTTCGGGCGAAGTCGACGACGAACGTGAGCCCCGCGTGCGATCGCCTCCCCGAGCTCTGCGTTCGACCCCCAGCTCTGCGTTCGACCCCCAACTCTGCGTTCGACCCCACCTCGGCGTTTGCCCCCACCTTTGCGTCCGTGGGCCGCTGGCGACAGGATTTTTGAGGGGAGATTAAAAAGAGGATTTAAGAGGAGAGAGAGATCATTAAAGAGGATTAAAGAGGGTATTTATTGTGGGGTTATTCATTTATTCTCAAGTGAGAATTGAAAGGGTTCATACCCTTTGATTATTAACACTGTAGCTACAGTGTTTATTTGAGAAATCTCAGTTTTGAGATCTGCTCCTAAATTGTAATTTCTTGTTTAATTAATAAGAAATTATCTGTGTGGCTCCCGAGGACGTAGGCAGTTGCCGAACCTCGTTAAATCTTGTGTACTGTTCTCTATTCTGCGTTTTTCGTTGCATTAGGGATTTCGGCCTTTAAATTCCCAACAACTGGTATCAGAGCGTGAAACGATCTAGAACAAGTCAGATTCAAGTGGGAGCCATGGCCACAGATGAGGCAAAAATGAGACTTGAGAAATTTGATGGAACAGATTTCGGATTCTGGAAAATGCAGATAGAGGATTATCTGTATCAGAAAAATCTGTATCAACCACTATCGGGGAAGAAGCCAGATTCTATGAAGGAAGAAGAGTGGAACCTTCTAGATAGACAAGCCCTCGGAGTTATCAGATTGACGTTGACTCGCAATGTTGCGTTCAACATAGCGAAGGAGAAGACCACGGCAGGTCTTATGGCAGCTCTCTCAAATATGTATGAGAAGCCATCAGCCGCAAATAAAGTTCATTTAATGCGGCGGTTATTTAATCTGAAAATGGCGGAAGGCGCGTTTGTAGCACAACACCTCAATGAACTTAATACGGTTACAACCCAATTGAGTTCAGTTGAGATTGAGTTTGATGAAGAAGTTCGGGCGTTGATATTGTTGTCTTCCCTACCAGAGAGTTGGAACGCTACAGTCACAGCTGTGAGTAGCTCGTCGGGAAAGAAAAAGTTGAAGTTCGGCGACGTTCGTGATTTGGTTCTCAGTGAGGAGATCCGACGGAGAGAAACGGGTGAAGCTACAACCTCTTCAGTATTGCATACAGAGTCAAGAGGTAGAAATTCAACCAGAGGAAACGGACGAGGAAAATCAAACTTCAGAGGTAGATCAAAGGACAGGAGGTCCAAATCAAGGAATCCAAGCAACAGCTCGAAGGCTATCGAGTGTTGGAATTGTGGAAAGACCGGGCATTACAAGAATCAGTGCAAGAGTGCACAGAAGGAGAAGGAGGCGAAGGCAGAGGTGAATGTCACCTCCACTTCAGGAGGAGACGACGCATTGATATGCTCTTTGGAGAGCAAGGAGGAATCTTGGGTGTTAGATTCAGGAGCGTCGTTCCACGCTACTTCTCAGAAAGAATTCTTCGAGAAGTATACCCCCGGAAAACTTGGATACGTATATCTTGGTGATGATCAACCGTGTGCTATAGTGGGCAAAGGCGTGGTGAAAATTAAGTTGAACGGGTCAGTATGGGAGCTGAAGGATGTCAGGCATATTCCCGACCTGAGAAAGAATTTAATATCCGTAGGCCAGTTGGCTGGCGAAGGATACACCACAACCTTCCATGGAGATGATTGGAAGATCTCAAAGGGCGCAATGACGATTGCCCGAGGCAAGAAGACTGGTACCCTGTATATGACAGCAGGTGCACGTTGTTTGATCTCAGTTGCAGCAGGCAATGAGACTTCAAAGCTGTGGCACCAGAGACTCGGTCATATGAGTGAAAAGGGGATGAAAATCATGCACACAAAGGGGAAACTCCCAGGACTGCAGTCAGTGGAGATGGATATGTGTGAAGAATGTATACTTGGAAAGCAGAAGAGAGTCAGCTTTCAGACAAGTGGCAGAACCCCCAGGAAGCAGAAGCTAGAGCTCGTTCACTCAGATGTTTGGGGACCAACCACCACTGCGTCGATTGGTGGGAAACACTACTTCGTGACTTTTATCGATGATCACTCTCGGAAAGTGTGGGTCTACTTTCTGAAGCATAAGTCAGAAGTATTTGAGGCTTTCAGGAGATGGAAAGCTATGGTCGAGAATGAAACCGGTCTGAGAATAAAGAAGCTCAGGACCGACAATGGCGGTGAATATGAAGACACTGGATTCAAGAAGTTCTGCTATGAGCACGGGATCAGAATGGAGAGGACCGTGCCAGGCACGCCTCAGCAAAATGGAGTAGCTGAGCGAATGAACCGAACGTTGACGGAGAGAGTCAGAAGCATTCGAGTACAATCAGGCCTACCGAAGCAGTTCTGGGCAGAAACGGTCAACACAGCAGCTTACTTGATCAACCGAGGTCCATCGGTTCCATTGGAGCACAGAATACCAGAGGAGGTATGGTGCGGAAAGGAGGTAAAACTCTCACATCTAAAAATTTTCGGTTGTGTAGCTTACGTGCATATTAGTGATCAATGCAGGAATAAGCTTGATCCCAAGTCAAAGAAATGCACTTTCATCGGCTATGGTGAAGATGAATTCGGCTACCGCATTTGGGACAACGAAAACAAGAAGGTTATCAGGAGCAGAGATGTGATATTCAACGAGAAGATGATGTACAAGGACATGCACAAGACTGACGACTCAGAGAGCGAGTCCACATTTATAGATGCAGATGATGTCCCGAGTAACCTCTCGGAAGAACCCAATGCAGAGCGTCCTCAGCAAGAAGAGCCTGTTGGACAAGATGGTGCGCAGGAGCCCGACGCACCAGCTCCGATATTAAGAAGATCTTCTCGTCCTCCTGTACCCAACAGGAGATACATGAACTATCTGTTGTTGACAGATGGTGGGGAGCCTGAAAGCTTTGATGAAGCTTGTCAGTGTGGAGATGCGAGCAAATGGGAGCTTGCAATGAAAGATGAGATGAAGTCTCTCATATCAAACCAGACGTGGGAACTAGCTGAGTTGCCCACGGGTAAGAAGGCACTCCACAACAAATGGGTGTACCGGGTAAAAGAGGAGCAGGATGGTTCCAGGAGATATAAAGCCCGATTGGTTGTCAAAGGTTTCCAGCAGAAGGAAGGAATTGACTACACCGATATTTTCGCTCCCGTGGTGAAGCTAAATACTATCAGGACCGTGATGAGTATTGTAGCAATTGAAGATCTTCATCTCGAGCAGTTAGACGTGAAGACGGCGTTTCTTCACGGAGATCTAGAAGAGGAGATATACATGCACCAGCCAGAAGGTTTCTCAGAAGAAAAGAAGAAGAACCTGGTGTGCAGACTCAAGAAGAGCTTGTATGGCCTGAAACAAGCCCCAAGACAGTGGTACAAGAAGTTTGACGGTTTTATGCACAAGGAAGGTTTCCAGAAGTGCAACGCCGACCACTGTTGCTACTTCAAAAGATATCAGTCCAGCTATATCATCCTACTGCTGTATGTTGATGATATGTTGGTTGCAGGAGCAGATATGGAGGATATCAAGAGTTTGAAGCAGCAGCTGTCAAAGGAGTTTGACATGAAGGACTTGGGTCCAGCGAAGAAGATCCTTGGAATGCAAATCACGAGAGATAAGAAGAGAGGTCTCTTGCAGTTATCTCAGACGGAGTACATCAACCGTGTTTTGCAGAGATTCAATATGGGCGACGCCAAGCCTGTGAGCACACCCTTGGCCAGCCATTTTCGTTTATCGAAGGATCAGTCTCCTCAGTCAGAAGAAGAGAAAGAGAGTATGGCTCAGGTTCCTTACGCCTCAGCTATCGGAAGTTTGATGTACGCAATGGTCTGTACGAGACCAGACATTGGCCATGCAGTGGGAGTGGTCAGCCGGTTTATGTCGAATCCAGGAAAAGCTCATTGGGAAGCGGTCAAGTGGATTCTGAGATATCTACGAGGCACCACACAGAAGTGTTTGCACTTTGGTAAGGGAGAGGTAGAAGTGCAAGGGTACGTAGATGCAGACTTTGGAGGTGAAGTTGATCACCGAAGAAGCACCACCGACTATGTATTCACCGTTGGAGGATGTCACAGGTACAGAAGATTGTTACCCTATCCACTACAGAAGCTGAGTATGTTGCAGTGACTGAAGCCAGTAAAGAGATGATATGGCTTCAGGGTTTGTTGACAGAGCTGGGATTCAAACAGGAGAAGAATGTTTTGCACAGTGATAGTCAGAGTGCGATACACTTGGCGAAGAATTCAGCATTTCATTCCAGAACGAAGCATATTGCTCTTCGGTACCACTTCATCAGATCCCTGTTGGAAGATGACGTGTTGAAACTGGAAAAGATTCCAGGAAGTAAGAATCCAGCAGATATGTTAACAAAGACGGTGACAGTTCAGAAACTGGAGTTGTGCGCAACTTCAGTTGGCCTTCATGCATAGATGATGAGGGCGGAGCCACACAGGAGAGGAGCTTGATGAGATAGCCTGATTGACGGCGGTTTGATCTCCAAGTGGGAGATTGTTGAAAAAGGTGTAGATCAAACTCACCTCAGGCGACGAAGAGCTCCGGCGAGCTCATGGATGTTGCAGGCGTGCGTGGGCAACGAACTTCGGGCGAAGTCGACGACGGCTCACGTGCGATCGCCTCCCCGAGCTCTGCGTTCGACCCCCAACTCTGCGTTCGACCCCACCTCGGCGTTTGCCACCACCTTTGCGTCCGTGGGCCGCTGGCGACAGGCTGTCGCCAGCTCATCCACCTCGCCTATAAAAAGGCCCCTAGGGTTTCGTTGCTGCGCTGCTGATTTCTTCCCCTCCTCCGATTGTTCCTCTGGCGGCGGAACCCTAAAAACGCAGCTGCGTTTTCCCTCTTTCTCCAGCGCTTAGGATTTGAGAATCTTAAGGGGAGATTAAGAGAAGGGGATTTAAGAAGAGAGAGAGGGAATTAAAGAGGGGTTTTAATTGTGGGGTTATTTATTCTCAAGTGAGAGAAATTGAAAGGGTTCATACCCTTTGACTATTAACACTGTAGCTACAGTGTTTATTTGAGAAATCTCAGTTTTGAGATCTGCTCCTAAATTGTAATTTCTTGTTTGATTAATAAGAAATTATCTGTGTGGCTCCCGAGGACGTAGGCAGTTGCCGAACCTCGTTAAATCTTGGTGTACTTTTTCTATACTGCGTTTCTGTTGCAATTAGGGGTTTAGGCGTTAAATTCCCAACAGCGAGTCTCATGATGGTGAATCTAATTAAACTTGTTAATGTTATGTTGTGGCTAAAACTATGCTTATGCTGCCAATTCTTTTAAATATTATGCACTACACTGAAGGATTCTATCATCTTAGTTCTTTCATAAACAAGTTCTTGCTATCTTTATAATTTTTCTTCTGCATTTTAGTAGATTAGTGAGATATCTAAATCTTGCTATTTGCTCATTTGTTCCACAGTTGTACCAATCATTAATTCCCCTCCAGTTTACTACTCAATTTGTTTCCTGTTAATTGAAAACTTGCCTTATTTAATCATCTATTTGACGTGTCAGTTGTCATATTTTTAATTTAGTCTCAAGTCAGATAGTAGAAAATGCACAATTGCAGATACATACTCAACTACCCTTGTTGCAAGATATTCATTAAATAAGAATATAAGCGACTTTTTTTTCACCAAGACTTTGATTCAATTAAAATATTACTATTACTTTTTGAAAACACCATTTTTTAAGGACTGAATATGCTTGCTTATGATATTTTGCAGTTGTCAATCTCCTAGCTGATTGAGTTCAATGTCCTTTTTTCCCCTTTTTTGGGGTTGGATTTAGGGTACTATCGTATGCCCTTGCACACCTGGATAAGCAATAATCAGCAACCAAAATATGTGGAATTGAAAGATGCTTTAAAAAAATAATGGCTGGATTTTTGAATGACTGAAGTCAAAAGAACACCCCAAACATTAAGATTTTTTTGATCATTTGAGACGTACCAGGTTCCGTATGCATAAACAATGGCCACTTGAAAAATGCTGCTCTCTTTGTGCCTAGCAATAAAATTAATTGTTGCCTAATCCAGCATGGAAGCTCCAATGAGACGGCACAAATTGATTTCATAGGATTCTCTTTTTATAGTACAATGGTATGATTTACCTGCGGATGTGTATAACTAATGCAAGGTTTGGATATACAGAGGAAACATGCATACTGAAGATTGCTTCGTGAAGACATTTATATGTTCTAATTCCAATTCCATTATCTTTGGTAGAAACTATGGGGATTGGGGTGAATCTAATTATCGCAATTTTCTATTTTAGTAGCGAATGCACCCGCTGCCTCATGTTATGGTGTGTTTTCCCATTAGTTTTTAAACTCCCATGAGAATCATGTGATAGTTAGAATTAGAGGTTTGCCGAGAACATTTCCACGAGATTCCCGTGTGAGTTTAAAAGCTAATGGGAAAAATAAGGAAGTAACGAAAGCTATGATACGGAGGCGCTAGCAAAATAGATAAGCATCGATAATTTGGTAGATCTCCATATGTAAATATAAAGGAACATGTTTCTTTACACTTTTGGTACTTCAGAATAGCAAGTTCAACTACACAAACATAAGCTTTAAAGGCACAAGTCCTAAAATCATGTGTTTGGCAGGTACGTAGTGAAGACCTTGGACAATGCAGAGAGTGTTAAACTGCAGTATCGTTCACTAGCGAAAGTGGCAGATGATTCTTCACCTTCTAATGTGATCCAAAATAAATCCACCACTCCAAGCTGGCTATAATTACACACCGAGGAAGATAAAAACTTTTTTAACATTTGACCGATACAGAACAAGGTACATCGCCTATTGCTGTTGGCAGGGGATAAGAGTTGGTGCTTTTGAAAGATGAGGTCTTTTTTTAAAGAGCTGTAAATCAATTCAGCCTTACTGAAACCTGAGGCTGATTTGTACAAACAGATGGTTTTTGGTAACTTGTATACATCAAGTGAATTGCACACATACGAAATTCAAGTGTCCTCCATGGGGCTTAGTAAGTGTTAATATCTTCAAATTTTCTTTACAAGTATTCATGGGGCTTAGTAAGTGTGATTGAATGTGGTACGATAATTTTTTTTTAACTTAACTATGGATGTGCACGTTAGATATGCGATCTATACCAATTTGGATCCTCTCCACTAAACAGAAATAGGGGAAATATTATTATTTTTAATTTCAACCGTTAATTATTTAGTAGATAGTCGTAATACATTCTAAATTTAACACTCGTTATCTCCCTGTATATTGTACTACTATCTAGTAGATATAGTTGTAATACATGTTACGCGCCGTGCGGATGCGTGCTCGACAAGCAAACGAGTCCGCGAGCGATGAGAGAAGAGAACTAAACCAAACACGAGTGCAATTTACCAAAAATACGATACAATTCAAACCAAACATAAAGATTTACATGGTTCGGCAATTGCCTGCGTCCACGGGGAGAGGATGAGAAGATTTTACTATATGGAGGAGAAATACAACGGGTTACAACTCACAAAATCACTCAAACATAAGCCTAACCAAAGCTCTCAAATCTCTCATAATATCTTCCTCTCAAAGTGCTCAAAACAATGCTAATTCTCTGGTTAAGAAACCCTACAAATCATGTTTGTATTTTATACAAATTGTATTTTATACAAACACTCACTCCAAAACTGCCCATGAAAAACGAATCAAGCCCATAACTGCTATCGGTCGACTGCACATATTCAATCAGTCGACCGGACAGAAGCTCAATTTCTCACCCTGTAATGTGCACGGGTCGGTCGATCGGTCACACCCCATCGGTTGACCGCCGAACTCCTGTAAAACCCAGTTCCCTGGCGATTGCGTCAGTCGACTGGCCTTGCTCCTTAGGTCGGCCGACCCGAGGATTCCTATAGCTGCTTCTCAGCTTTAGTTTTACTGATTTTGCTCGCAGTTTCTACAATTCTCCATCTCGGCAAAATTTTCCCAAAACCGAGCCGACACCAAACATGAGCACCACTACATCGTCTCATCAAATCCGGCTGCATCAATGTGGTTGCCTACGTACCCCCTCTCCTAAGGGATCAAGCCACCCGTAGTTCATCCAAATGGTCACGAACGACCTCAACAATCACTAATTTGTAACAAGTTTCTACAATGATCAAACTTGTTGCTCAGAACCACCTTTGTGAGCATATCTGCTGGATTATCTTTTGTGTGGACCTTCACGAGCTCCACATCCCCATCTTCAAGAACATCTCGAACGAAGTGATAACGAACATCGATATGCTTCGTCCTCGCATGAATGATCTGATTCTTCGCCAAATAAATAGCACTCATGCTATCACAATAAATTATGACGGATCGCTGCGAAACACCAAGATCCTCCAAAAGTCCTCGAAACCAAATCGCCTCCTTAACAGCCTCCGTAATTGTCATATACTCTGCCTCCGTCGTCGACAAAGTCACCGTAGACTACAAGGTGCATCTCCAACACACCGGCGCACGGGTCAAAGTGAACACATACGCCGTCGTCGACCAGTATTTATCCAAATCTCCAGCGTAGTTCGAATCTACGTATCCAATACATAGTTGTCCACCGCTAGTGTCCAGCTCAAAAACCAAACCAACGTTGAGAGTACCTCGAATGTACCTCAAAATCCATCTCACGATATCCCAATGACCCGAACCCGGGTTGTGCATGTATCTCGAAACCATGCTCATTGCCTGTGACAAATCTGACCTCGTACAAACCATGGCGTACGTCAAACTTCCAACTACGTACGCTCGCATATGAAGTTTTCGACATCAACTCTCTATCTTCAACTGTCTTCGGTGAAAGGTCTGCTGAAAGCTTCAAATGAGCTCCCAATGGTAACTAACTGGCTTCGTCTCCATGCTCACATTGAACCACTGTAGAACCTTCTTCAAATAAGTCACATGTGTCAAACAAATTCTTCCCTTGTCTCTGTGTCTGCCGATCTCCATTCCTAAAATACGTTTTGCTTCATCCAAATCCTTCATCTTAAACTCGCTCGAAAGTTGAATCTTCAATCTATCTATCGCGGATCTGAAAGTAGAAGCAACCAACATATCATCGACATAAAGCAATAAGTAAATGTACACACCTCCATTCAACTTGTGATTATACATGCAAAGATCAAATTGGCTCCTAATGTACGAGTGGTCGATCATGAACCCATCAAATCGCCTATACCACTATCTCGGAGATTGCTTCAACCCGTATAATAATTTTTTAATCTACAAACCAATTTATCCTTTCCTGCAGCTCGGAATCCCAGTGTCTGAGTCATATAGATTTTCTCATCAAGATCACCATGAAAAAAAATATTGTTTTCACATCCAATTGATCTAATTTAAAATCATATTGTGTCATCAAAGCTAGTAAAATCCAAATCGAAGAATGCTTCACTACCGGAGAGAAGACCTCATTGTAGTCAATACCTTCCTCCTTTGCATATCCCTTCGTAACCAACCTAGCCTTGAACCTCACGGGAGTGCCTTCCATGCCCTTCTTCGTATATACCCACTTGCAACCAATAATCTTCCATCCCTTTGAAAGCTCGACAAGCTCTCATGTGTCGTTTCTATGAAGAGACTCCATCTCCTTCTGCATAACCACATGCTAGAAAATAGCCTCTGAACCCTGCTCGGCCTCTCTAAATGTAGTAGGAATCATCTCATCGACACTCACCATTGGAAGTGCATACGCAACGACTATGTCTGTATACCTCGTTGGCATTCGTATGTCTCTCTCGGCTTCTGAACCACAATAGAATCATGAACATGAGCCGTCGGTCCCTGATCCTGGTCAACTGTACCTGTATCCTCCAAATCATCCCCGTGCTCGCCTGACATCACCTCAGTCGGCACTCTAATAGATACGGTCCCATCTGGAGAATGTGGAGCTGCATCCACCACCTACGATATCTTCTCTGTCGGGTTGCTCTCCACCTGATAAGAGCTGGGAAGCTTCAAGATCAAAGCCTCATCAAATGTGACGTCTCTACTCAGCATAATCTTCTTATCAACTGGATCCCAAAGTTTGTATACTTTGACACCTCGTTTGAATCCCACAAATATGATCTTCCTAGCTCGAGGTTCTAATTTATCAGTCTTCACATGTTAAAATGCAGAGCACCCAAATACATTGAGCTGATCATAGTCGTGTGCTGGCTCTTCCGACCATATCTCCATAGGGATTTTCCCCTCGATCGTAGATGAATGCATCCTATTACAGAGGTGGCTCGCATATAAAAGTGCCTCAACCTAAAAAATCTTCTCCAAACCACTCTGCGATAACAAACATCGAACCTTTTCCAGTAAAAACCGATTCAATCTCTTGTCACCCCATTATGTTACGGCGTATGACTAACTTTAAAGTGTCTCTTTATGCCCTCGGCTCGACATAGCTACTGAAAGGGGTCTGAAGTGTACTCGTCGCCGTTGTCGGATCTCAACGTCTTGATCTTTCTCCCAGTCTGCAGTTCCAATCTTCTCTTCCTCTCCACAAATAACTCTAGGACTTCATTATTATGCTTCATGGTGTACACCCAACAACGCCTAGAATAGTCATCCATAAAAGTGGTGAACCAATATCGACCACCAAGTAATGTCGTCTTGGTAGGACCCTAAACATCCTATAGTACCAAAGTCTGCTCGCGTCCATCTCTGAAATAGCTAAAGCTACCTAGCCAATCTCGATGCTTCCCTTCAGATAATACAAAATTTTGTTGCGGATTCCCTTCATCACCACCAAAGATCCCTTATTAAGCTTCGTTATAGCGTTCTCAAATGTCACCTTGAATCCCTTCGCCTCCAAAGCTCCAACGGAAACAAGATTCTTCTTCAACTGAGGAACGAATCTCACTTCATTCAATTCACGAACAACTCCATCGTGCATCCAGATCCTGACGGTACCTATCCCACAAATACCACAGGATTGGTCATTTCCTATGACTATAACGCCCCTATCGAGTCTCTCGAACGATGCAAACCAATCTCGTCGGGGAGTCACATGATAAGTAGCACCAGAATCTAGCATCTAATCAGATGCACACACATAGTTTACCTCTAGAGTAATCAATAGAAAAAAACACGAATCATCAGAATCATCACCTCTAGCGATGTTCACCTCATTAGCCTTTGGGCTATTCTTCTTGCTATTCTCCTTCTCTTTGAGCTTCGGGCAATCTCTCTTCCAATGTCCTTATTCTTTGCAGAATACACATTGGTTCTTCGCTAATTGGGGGTGGCCTCTTGACTTTGACCTGCCTCTATTACCACCTCTTGGAAATAGACTTCTTCCTCTCGTCGACAATGTCTCTCCTGAAGTGCTAGCTCGAGAATGCAAAGAAGAGAATAAAGAAAATTTGATTTTGATTCCTTTGATCTCGGTTACAACTTGATTACAAAAGAGAGGAGAACGAAATTGGTTCTTCCTCTTTGTTTAAAACTGGGTTCTTCACGGTGGCGATGGAGTGCCTCCCTCGAATGCTCGCGTCGAGTTTGCTCTCCGTTGACGATCCGCACGTCTTGATTCACTGGAACGATGTCTTCTCCTCACGATTTGACGTTGTGGAGAACTTGCGTGGCAAGTTTGAGAACTCTGAACGAGTTTAGAAGAACTCTGTAAAAGAGTTGATTTGAACCGAAGATCGGTTAATAAGCCAAGGCTAGAAGAAGCTCTGTGGTCGATCGTTGCTGAAGGATCAAGGCCGATCTCCTCCAAAACCTTTGCTGCGAAGTCCCAGATCCGAAAATGCCAGCCTTGCTGCTAACTCTTCCGTTTTCAAAAGCCAGCCTTAACTCAGTTGAGTTTACCCATATTTATAGGGAATTAAGGGGTGTAACCGCCCCTTAAATCTCTCCTAAGTGGGATGTAACCGCCCCCAAATCGTGGGCAACGGTTTTAGAATCGTTCAACTCATGTTGAATGAGTCAAACGCCCACGTTGGCGTTCAGGACCCTAACCTCACGTCTTAGGATTGAGACGCGAGGTTGGGTGTTGGCTGAACATTGATGAACGCGAGGGTCGCTCGCGTTTCGCCTGTTTGTAACGCGGGGTTCGACCTTGGCGTTTTGATGTTGAAACGCGAGGTTCGACCCTGGCGTTTTGATGTTGAAACGCGGGGTTCGACCCTGGCGTTTTGATGTTGTGACGCGGGGTTCGACCTTGGCGTTTTGATGTTGAAACGCGGGGTTCGACCCTGGCGTTTTGATGCTGTGACGCGGGGTTCGACCTTGGCGTTTTGATGTTGAAACGCGGGGTTCGACCCTGGCGTTTTGATGCTGTGACACGGGGTTCGACCTTGGCGTTTTGATGTTAAAACACGGGGAGGACCTCCGCGTCTTGCCTTGAAGAGATTATCACCAAGTAATCTCTTTTTGTCATAGCGTTGCAAAGATCATTGTCTTGTAATCTTCGTCTTGGCTCCTTGAGAATATGAGAGTCGTCAGATTGTAACTCCCGATGTTGATTGTGAAGGCTGTTGAAGTAGAGCTTCCATCAGTTGTCGTGAAGATCGTCAGATTGTAACCCTCAGCGATCTACGTGAAAGTCTTCAAATTGTTTGCCTTCTGGAAGTCGTCAGATTGTAACTTTCATCATCGGTGGTTGATGGGGGATAAGCTATCTATTGTGATTTTTAGACAGCCTACAAGAAGTCTCTTTGTCCTTCCTCCTCAAATCGTAATTCGTTAATGCATTAGTCACTTTACTATAGGTGATGAAAGATCTACCATTCAATAAAGCGAGCACGAAGGTAGCATACTCCTCATCGGGTAAGGAGCCTAACAAAATAATCGCCTTGTACTCGTCCGTTATCTTCTCATCCACGTTTTCCAAGTCCGATAATAACTTTGTCTAGTTATTCACATGAGCCGCAAGTGAGGTGCCCCTGGACATTTGGAATCTGAATAATCTCCGCAGCAAGTGCAACCGATTCTCAACACTCTTCGTAAGGTACTTGTTGTTAAGAATCTCCCACATCTTCATCGCATACATCACACCAATCATATCGTATTTCAGCTCTTGATCCAAACAAGACCTGATCACCCCACAAGTGTTCCTATTCATATTGTCTCATATCGCCTCATCGTATTTCAGTGGCCTCTCGTGAACCATGATGGTCTCTTCTAAATTTTGAACATTGAGAGCGTCCTGTACGTCGCTCATTCACAAACCAAAATTGATCTTGTCGTCATACTTCACTATACTAATCTTAGTATTTTGAAGTCTAACCTGAATTGTATTCATCATTATCTTACTGCTTTCACCAACTTCTTCTCACATGCTCACAAACTCCAAATTGTAAAGAAAGATTCAAACTTTGATAGAATTGAGAAATTACCTAACTGAACCTTAGATATGATTCCAACACGATCTCCTAACCAAACAAGGAAAGCGATATTCCAATGGCAACTCCGCAACGCTATCTCCACCGAAGTCTAGAACTCCAAGAACCAAGCTTCAAACAACGAACTTCCTCCACCCAATTCAAAACCCTAGATCTAAAACCCTAGAGCTATAATATCAATTGTTGCGCGCTGTACGGAAGCGTGCTCGACAACCAAACGAATCCGCGAGCGATGAGAGAAGAGAACTAAACCAAACATGAGTGCAATTCACCAAAAATACGACACAAATCAAACCAAACACAGAGATTTATGTGGTTCAAAAATTACCTACGTCCACGGGGAGAGGATGAGGAGATTTCACTATATGGAGGAGAAATACAATGTGTTACAACTCAAAAAATTACTCAAATATAACCCTAACCAAAGCTCTTAACTCCCTCACAATATCTCTCTCTCTCAAAGTACACAAAACAATGCTAATTCTCTGGTTAAGAAACCCTAGAAATCGTGTTTGTATTTTATACAAACACCCAATCCAAAACCGCCCAGGAAAAACGAATCAGGCCCATAACCGCTATCGGTCGACCGCACATATTCAATCAGTCGACCGAATAGAAGCTCAATTTCTTACACCCTGTAATGTGCACGGGATCGGTTGACCAGTCACACCCCATCAGTCGACCGTCTCGAACTCCTGTAAAACCCAACTCCCTGGCGATTGCGTTGGTCGACCGGCCTTGCTCCTTCGGTCGATCGACCCGAGGATTCCTGTAGCTACTTCTCAGCTTTAGTTTTACTGATTTTGCCCACAGTTTCTACAATACATTCTAAATTTATCACTCGCTATATCCCTGTATATTGTATTTATTTTTAATTTGCACTCAAAGAAAAAATAATAACCACTCTTTATATAACACTCACTATATCTCTATATATTGTACTTATTTTTAATTTACACTCAAAGAAAAAATAATAACCACCTTGTATATTATACCTATTTTTAATTTGGGCTCAGAGAAAAAATAATAACTGCCTGTTAGGTAATCGATGGTAATGATTACCACAAATTTTTGATAGTAGAGAACATCCTAATCCAATCTCTACAAATATTGGTCTCCCGCTATATTTAAACCTCTTCTTTTTTTTCCCCTTTGTTTCTTTTTCTTTTTCTTTTTTTTACTGAAGTTATCAATTTATGCAAGCTATGCGACTTTATTTGAATCTCATCACTTCATTGAATTGTATCTGTTGATGCTCGATATCAAACAGTCAATTAATCCAGAAGAGGATGGTTGTGGGGTGACGAATGTTGATGGAGGGTCTGTTCCCTTCTCCGACTTTGTGCCTAGTTCTTGAACGAGGGCTTGATATCTACACTGCATAGATAGAAAGAACTCGTGAGAGGACGGGGACCAGTTCCCCTTTGGTTCCTCCGATGATCAAATCAGTTGATGAACGTGAGCTTGAGTGGAATTTAGAACTATGTGTTCTTATGCTATATGCATTAGAGAGGATCCTCTATCAAATTGGGTCAAGAGGAAGATTTTTTATTATTTTTCTGTCTTCTTCCTCATGGTGAATAACATATGTATATAAAGAGGACGTTAATGACAGATTGATCACTTCGGCCATGCAAATGGCGGTGACAAAATATGAACTGGAAGGTGAGTCATCCCTTGCTTTACAGGTGTCGGCTGGCGACTGGAGGGGAAGTCATTTCAGCCTGGGAGATGGTGTCTCCGCGATATCTGGAAAGTGACTTGTGAGTTATGGCAGAAGTCACATGAGCATACTGAGTCGCCCCTCGCTTAACAGATGTTGACTGTCGACTAGAGGGGAAGTCAGTTCATTATGGGAGAGAGTGTCTTCGTATTTTCTAGGAAGTGATTGAGCTGACAAGTCATGGAAACTTATCAGGCCAAAATCTGGATAAGGCTTGTCCGAGGTAGACTGAGATGTCGACATGTGCTCTGGGGGAGAGGCTTGAGGCTGGGGCCGAGTTCTCAATTTAATCGACAGTAGGGAATGTCCCTCTAGTCGTTTCTGAGAAATGCCCAGTGAGTGATTGAGTGCCCTAAATAGAGTCATCCTCGATAATGGGGTAGACCAGCACCGCCTTTCGTGTCGACTTAGGAGTGTCGGCTTGTCCGACTGGTTGAAATGTCGTCTTATCTCAGGTAATAAACATCTCTCGAGTCGATATAAAGATGTCAACTCGTCTGGGAGGTCAGGATCTCTCGTACCGGCTAGCATCACCTCTTATGTCTACACCAGAGTGTCGGCTTGATGAGTCGGTAGGGCCGAGGCCTCTGTAATTGTGTCTTGGGTTTTTTTCTGATAAGGTACCAAGGTCTTGCAATTTAGCCATGATGGTCGAGTTGTACTGGAGGATTCGACCATATGTTGGGCATTGGGCTTACCTTGATAAAGAGCCAATGGCTTATTATCCGACTGAGGAGTCGTCGTGCCTTGATCTCTTGAAGGTTGACTAGGGCTTTCTTTCCCCTAAGATCGAGAGATGATTGTGGGAGTCGGCCAAAGGATTGAGCTTGTTTCGCTTAGGACTCTTATCGTATCATTTTGCGAATACATGTATCTTGGATGAGTGAACACCATAACAGTTGGCCCCTTTCACTCGGAGTTGGCTTTTAGTCGACTTGAGAGAAAATAAGATATGCTCTGATTAATGCAGGTCTGCTGAGGACGAGAAACTGCAAAGCCATTGTCTTAGAGATGTGGTTTGTCTTGATTGGACACTCATTGTTAACTCCGCTATTCGTGGCTGACGTCACCAAAGGATCTGAACCGTCTTTTTGAAAGACGATACGTCATGGATAGAAGAGAGGATCTTCCACTTTTCGAGTATTGGGACGTGAAGCATTAAATGAGGGTGACGCTTCGTGTTTTGAGTAAAACCGCTTCAGATTCCGATGCGGATCTGGCCTGGTTGCTTTAAAAATCGCCGCGTCTTTTGAAATCCCTCTATACTCCAATATCAAACAGTATCAAAACTATCCTTACTGAACTCATCAGTTCAATACGTGTCAATCAACTCTGATCAAAAACTATTTCGACTGTCAATTAATACACCCATTTCATCCATGGGTAACTACCTTTGACTGCGCTCATCAATTCATACGTGCATACAATTCAAATCTCAGGATTTTGCTAAACAGTAGACAAACTAAACTGGGAACTAAAATCCATTTCCCTCCTTATTCTCAGTAAGATTACAATACATAGATACATAAACATACAACACTACAAATTAACATTTAAAACTACAACACAATCTAATAACATCAGCACCAAAACATCAGAACACAAGCTAAAACTAAAGCAAAAAAAAAACAAACAAACAAACAAACAAACAAACAAACAACTCACGCACGAATTACCCTCCTAATAACAGACCTCCCCTCTTCCCTCCCCCTCTCCTTCTCCTCCTCTCTCCCTCTCTCCCTCTCCCTCTCCCTCTCCCTCTCCCTCTCCTCCTCTCTCCCCTTCTCCCTCTCGCCCTCCTTCCCCTCCTCTCTACCCCTCTCCCTCTCCTTCTCCTTCTCCCATGGCATCGGCCACGTCGGAAGTATGACCTCCTCATTCTGCGGCCGTCACCGTCACCGTCTCACACGCATCCTCACTTCACACCTCTCCTGCCGCCAACTCCGGCCACGACCATGCTCGCCGTCATCACCGATCTAGCCCCCGCCAATAACTGCGGATGATTATTCTTCGCCGAGGTAGTAAACCCGAAAAACTCAAACGGTCCTCCCCTCGAGGCAATTTGACAAAACGGGAAAAACCTCGGTATCCAAAAAACATCGCCCTCATTCACCTCCGCCTTCATCGCGGAGCTACCATTTGGATACACGACTTGGATCGTTCCAGTCCCACCGAGGACTATGCCATACTCGGTGGCTCTGGGGTTCACGTGAGGAGCGAGCATGGAGCCGGCGGTTAGGTTTACAAGGTAGACTCCGATGTCAGAGTGTTTGAGAGGGTGGTAGTCGCGCTCGTCGATGGAGATGGACCACCCGAAGGGGTTCTTGAAGCTCGGGTCCCGGTCATAGAGGTTGTAGGAGTCCGGTGCTCGGACGGGCCCCGCGGTTTTCTTGTTGGTTTGAGATTGTTGATTGTTGTTGCCGAAGCCGAGGATAGAACTGAGGAGATTAGTGAATGTCCATGATGTGGTTGGTTGAGAGTCTTCTTCATCGTGGATAGTGGGATGTCGTTTTTCAGTAGATTCTTTGAGGTTTGAGTTTAGCAGGGGAGATAGTCGGTGAGGTTCTTCGGCGGCTTCTCCGCTGCCGGTAATAGCACCTATTTCCTCCGTGGTCACCTGGGCATGTACTTAATAGTTACGTACAACTGTGACTTTCACTTATACACAAAGAGGCAACCGATTTCTATGATCCCTACGTGAAACACGTATCATTTGGTTGGTGGTGGTGGGGGCTAAAAATAATATGAAGTTATATGTTGCAAATTGATAAATGATATTGATTTTCTGCAAAATGTGAAAAAATGTGATATTCCTTCTACTATTTTCCTCCCCTAGGGCTTTAACACTACGAAGTTTCAATAGCTATCTGTATATTCTGACCCATGAAAACTGACTCATCTTCAGTTTATATATCAACCAACCATGATATAACTCTAAAACTGTAAAAATTCCTAAGAAACAATATTTGGCATTTAACATCACCTATTCATATATACCATGAGGTTTAGACCAAATTACTGTCTATCAATGATGAATTTATAGCACCTCTTAAAAACTTAAGACTAAAATTGTGAAGATTTTTACTTTCAATTGGTTAAGGTTTTGTGGCAAACCAGACCCTATTATGCATCAAACTTGCACCTACAAAGTTCCCATAGTGAAATAAAACTACAGCCGAGATAACAATCAACGAAGTATAGCTTAGTTACAATTACTTACATTGAACGCAGTTGTGAGTGTAGTCATATCAAAACCAGCCAACACAGATTTAGGATAAATTCCACCACCAAGGAAGAAAGACTGCAAAACCAAAATTATAAAAGAATAATCGTTGAACACCAATTTATACTCGAATCCAATGAAAATGTGATCATTAACAAATTATTTGAACCTGGTAAGGAGGAGCAGTCCAATCCCAGCTGTAATAATCATTGGTTGTGTCGATGCTACAGATTATGTGCAGCCTCTGTCCTTTGCCGGTATTAACAATGTAGAACGTCGAGCCAGCCGGAATCCGATTGATGTCTCCCGTTTTCAGTTGTTTTTCGACTAAGTCATCTTTGTGGATCCAACCAATCTTCACGTCTCCTGCATGCATGGACATCGGAGAAGGGTAATTTGTGGAATGGCAGAGATTATGGGAAAAACTTAAAAGAATTAGCTGTAAATAAATTAGAATTCGGGAAATTGTAAATAAATTAGAATTCTGCACGCAAGTGCTGTAGCCCAGCAATTTGACAGAAAAAAAGTAAATTTCCATAAAACTGCCGCATGAACTATATATTTTATGTTTTGAGAAAGTATATTATACACTATTAATTTTATTAAAGAAAATAGCAAAAACATTTTTACTTAGGGGGTTAGCCAATTAAGACTCAAAATTAGAACTAGAATAATTTGTGGGATAATGTTTTATAGTGTTATAGTCCATTAAAACAAGAACTAGGATAAAAATTATACATCGTTAGTCCATTGAAATTAGAACTAGGATAAAATTATACAGTGTTAGTCAACAAGAACTCGATAAAAAAATAGAACTGGAATAATTGTAAAAATTTATCCCACTTTTGTCAAATTTATATAGAAAAAAGAGAGTTCTAGTCTCTCAAATTGTCCCAAGTTTTAACCTAGAACTACATGGTAAAAAGCTAGAATGTTCTTATCTACTTTTTATGTTTCATATTTTATTTCTCCATCATCTTCAAACCACACTATAAAATTAGATCGCATCTCTTCTCTTCTGACCATTCCTATCTAGTTAATGTTATTTTTTATTTTTATTAAATATGTGAATTGTATATTTAATTAAATTTAAAAATTACAAAATTAATGTTTTATTAAAAATTGACTAAATTGAGAGATGATGAAATAATGTCGGTGGATCAAAAAAGAAAGTTATGTTTTTTTATTTTATATTAAAATAATAATTCCAAAAAGTTACAAATTATTATTATTATTATATCTTATAGTCTATATAATATAATAGTTCTTCAAGATTAATTAACACTAAAGTAAATAATTATTATTAATTAATTAAGTTTTAAAATGTATAAATAGTAGTCTTATCATCAAAATACATGACTTACATTTATATGTTTATTGATTTCTGAAAATTATCCTTAATTATGCTAAGGATTGTCAAACTAAAATAGCATGTTTTAAAAAATTACTCTCACTTATCCCACTAAAATATCTCACATTAAGAATTATCACGAAATTATCACGCACTAAAAATTGTTCCACTTCTATAAAAAATTATCCCATAATTTAGATATTTTTTGCCCTTATTTACAGATACAATTTTCTTTCACTTAAGTGTGTATTTTTCTGGGATTTAAAAAGTGTGTTACTTCTTTACTAAACGTAATGATAGGTGTATGTAAAACTCTCAATGATTCATGGTAAGTTTGTGAAATTTACCTGAAATAGAATTCAATACAAATTTTCACTGCTCACATGTATTTGGCTTTCTTAATCTAGTCATTTAACAAATTATAATTTCTTGCCACTCATAAAATAATCAAAATTAGCACTAGCCACCCAAATTTTATATTAAATAATTAGAAGAAATTTGCAATTACGTACCAAACTACATACAACTTGCATATTTTCCCAAGGAAAATTTCTGCATAGCCCAACTATTTTCTACCTTTTGTAAAACACCCTTCCACCAAATTACTAGATTGAGGTGATTTTCAAAAAAAAAAAAAAAAAAAAAGCTGTCAAGTAATATTTGTGCTATATATCCTTGAATCGATGCACAAAGAAGGAAGTAATTAGTTTACCCTTTCGAATGAAGAGGATGAGGTTAGCATCAATGTACTGAGGCACAAAGAGAGTATTGGGCTCCATAGAAATGAACCCAATGTGCATGGGGGTAGGGTGACCGTCCCAGCGGTGTCCCCTCACCACCCTAACCTCACCTCCATCAGTCTTCACCACCTTCTCGGCTCTCTCCAACACAAACCTCCTCCCACCCCCCTCTCCCTCCTCGTCTCTTTCTCTGTACCCGGTCACCGCCGGTGAGGACAGCAACAGTGCCGTTAAAATCACCGCAAGCTTCATCGTACGTACGTGTTGACTGAATTGATTGTTATTTTGTGTTTTGGATGTGGAGATCACAAGCGGGTTTAAGAAGGGAGGTTGGAGGGACGTGGTGGTGACGCGTGTCATGCATGCATGGCGAAGTTGGGTGGACGTGGGACGGTGATCTTACACGTTGATGGAAGGATTCATGTGCGGTTTTGGTTCTTGATGCCTAACATGTGTTGTGGTTTTGTGTATGAATTCAACTACATCACTGAGGACAAATTTGACCAATGTTTAGACGCGGAAACATGAGGATAGATACATCGGAGTAAGAAAAAAATAATGATAGGGGCACACCCTTTACCACACTCCCAACCACACCACTTCTTTTGCTACAGTGCACGGAGCCCACATGAAATTTTAATTTTTAAAATCTCATGTGGGCCCCGTGCACTGTAGCAAGAGAGGTGGTATGGTTAGGAGTGTGGTAAAGGGTGTGCCCCTAGTGCCTCTCGTAAGAAAAAGTAATAAATAGGGTGTTTTCGATATTAGCCCTTTACATCGTTCATATTTTGAAAATTGTCCCTCGAATCATTGAAACTGCAAAGTTATTATGAAGTAGTCCTTCATATCATTGAAATTTTTGTTAAGTATTAGGTCCTTCAATTATTAAGTCATTTTGAAATTAGTCTCTCCAATTAAGAGTAGAAGTAGCAATTGGAGTAATTAATTTAAAACATTTTATGAGAATCAAGGGACCTAGTAGCAATATTAATGATTTGAAGGACTAATTTCAAATTCATTTAAGGGATGGGTGAACTAAAATCAATTTTAATTTGGAGGAAAAAAACCCAAAAATAAAATATCAGATGATAAAATAATTAAAGATGCACAAACATTAAACAAAAGCTACTCTTATCGATAAGATTACTGAGTTCTCAGTGCATAAAGCAACAGGAGAATCTGCAGACAATAATTTTATATGCTCAATCCTCTTGGAAAAATAAGTTTACATGCTCAAATGGGTAAGTTTATTACATTATAAAGCAAACAACAACACGGGAAGTTTGCGATCACTGAAACTGTTACAAATGTAAGTAATAATTGGCAGCATCATTAAAATGCCTGCTGACAGTACAATGGCAAAGAGGGAAAAACACGTCTAATTGTACAAGCTACGGATGATACAATTCACACAATAAAAGAAGAAAGATTAAGATCATTATAATTATAAGAAGAAAAAAAGTATGAAGGGCTATGATTGAGCTCAGAAACATGGCACATTTTCCTTCGTCAGTATGAAGTTGCTTGTAGAGTAGATAGAAGCTGCAGCTGCTCTGATTGATTTTTCCTTCTCTGCAGCCTCTGTTTTCTTCAAGCCACTGAAAATTTGAGAACACTTAGGTTAGAGAATCCACTTGGCAGTATAAAACATAAATATTTGCAAATTGCAAAATAGACAGAAAATGCAAGGAACACCACCATTTCACTGAAGAAATTAAGTTGCGGTTTAATATTCCATAGAAATCAACGAACCTGAATTCATCTGCTAGTAATATACTACGATTTGTGCTGAAATATTTCAGTCCTCCATCACAGTGTGCTTGCATATCTTGGACTTGTTTCAACCAGTTCTCCTATAAAGAAGAAGAGTCATCAGTTTTTATTCACCATATGAAGGATTTTATTCTTCCTTAAAAGTTGAGAGCAAATATTAAAGCCAACATATTATACCATCAGAATGTCATGCATTAACCATGGCCAACATTCCTTCGTATGAATGCTTAAAAGTTTCAATAATGTTTCAGTCAGAATTCAGTCACTAAATTGCAAGTAGTAGGAAAGCCAGTGGTCATAACTACATTTCCAACATTATGCCTCCAATAGGCAAGCTAGCACAATTTCTCATATCAATCTAGATCGTGGGCTCTTTGATTATGGTAGAAGAATACAGAAAAATACATTTGCGGCATAAAGCTTTAATTGATGCATTTAAAATAAAAAAGAAATACTCACAAGGTGTTTGCCCTCCTCGTATAATGCTTTGTCCATTTGACTGAAAATAGATTTCCACCGTGCCATGTGCATATCTAAAATTGCCTTCTTGGAACAGTCATTTTCAGATGAATGTGCAAAGCCCTCATTTTCTTGGTTAGATAACATCTCTTTTGATAGTAGATAAGGAAGTTCAGTCTGAATGACATTCCTTACTCTTTTCTTACTCCGTCTCAGTGCTGCATCCATAAACTTACGCATTAGTTATCTGTACAAATTGATACATCTTAGTGCTTTGCAATGAATAGAAGCATACCAGCAAGCCGTCCTTTGATGTCCTGGTGTAAGAGCTCCAACCATTGAGAAGCTACAGATGCACCTGCACATTAAGGAGAAAAGCATTCCTATAAACTCTTTTGCAATATCTATGCACTTCCAAGTATTGAATAAACTTATATATTTGCAATTCAAATCATCTGAAGAGAACAACCTTTCAGTGATAGAGAGGCAATGGCATCATGATTTGAGGATTGTTCCTGGTTGGATATGCTGCTAGTGTTTTCTGATGCCATAGTAACAGCAGATGACAGTTTCAGTGCAAGTGAATCATCATCATATTGGGGGTTGAATGTTGGTACATTAGAGCTCTCGTTATAGAACCTGCCTGAAATACCTGACCCAATTATCTGAGCTTCAATGTCTGAGCCAGAAAGAAACGAAGGTTTGTAGTATAGACTGAACTGGTTTCCAGCTGAATTATGAGCAGTAACATCCTTGGATCCAATCGGAATTTGATCAGGAGGCCTATTATGCATTTCTTTATCACTCCTCTCTGATTTCAGCATGGCTTCTATAATAGAATTGACCTGCTTGCTGTTTCTGACATGTTTGATGATCCCAGGATTCAGTCCAGAGAGCAAACCAGTAGGAGCTGCATTCTTAGTGTACTTGTTTGGCTGTTCTCTTTTTGTCATTATTTCACTCTTTTTCTTGAACTCTTCCTCTTTTTTCCTTTTAGGTTGACGACTCCGCTGCTTGGGAACAGGTATGCCTCCATGAGAGATGCCTCCATGAGAGGATGAGAGAAAACCATTCTGCTTCATCTCCTTCCACATTTTCAATGGCTCACTCTCTTCCAAGGTACCAGTGGTGCTACCGCATTCTGAGGCATCTGTGGATCTCAATGGTTCCAAATTTTTATGGAGGTTAAAGGGATTGTCATTAAGATCCAAACTGAGTCCTGCAAAGCTCTTGTTTTGTGGACCCCGCTCTTTATTAGATTTTGTATGTGCATCATTATTGACAGGGTTTTCAGAAAACTTGATGCTTTCAACAAGGCCTAAAGTCAAAGATATGTCCTTTGTTGGTTCAGCAAAAATATTGCTTGTTACTGATCGTACATGTTTATCTGAGTGCAAAGATACGATTGTATCTGTGATATGGGAAATCTCCTCTTTGCTCTGGAGGCTGTGTACAGTACCCTCTGTTAACGTCGAACACTTTTTAATTCCTAGTTGACAAATAATGATTTAGTGAAGCAGTTGGAAGAAATAGGTGCAGAAATGGAGAGAGATTTTCAATCCAGTGGCAATAATATGGAAATTTATGTAAGAAAATAGCTCTAGATTGTAAATTTTTAATTGAGGCCGTAGAAAACACCCATTTCTTTTAGCTATTGGAGGGAGATGCAACCAATTACAGAATTCTACCACAGCAACCACACGCGATAGGATCATGAAATCATCATGCATATTGGGAAAAACATCATTCTATTTTAGTCAATGAAATACATGATATTGGTCTTCTCTTCCCGAAAAATATGGTGATCTTCACTAGCAATCAAAATGCTCAAGAGCTTAAACTGATTAAGAGCCCCAGTGAACACCAACAAACATCTATGCATAAGATGTATCTTCGGTATGAGTGAATCGTAGAGGTAAAATCGACCTAATCAATCCTACTATAAACTCTGCATCTTGAAATATGTTGTCACACTCAAATCTTTCGTAAACAACTCAGCTGTAACCACATTAGTAAGGTTCTACTACATGTAGAAATGAAATCTCGATACTCTGACATCAATAACACAAAAGTGAGAAACCACCCTTTGTCATAACCTTTATATGGTATCAAAGCTCAAGATTTCATGAGTTTTGCCAATTGCCTCATAGTATTCCTCTGCTACCTTGTCTACTGCCAATCCGTTCTGGTATTTTCCTCTCGCCCCGGTAAAGTCCTTCCTCTCTCTAAAGCTCACAGCTACAAATTATATAATTGTTGAAGACTCGGTTTCTACTCATTTAAATTTGTCAGTGCATCGTGCTTATTGATGGCAACACACTTGTGGAATCTTGACTTAACCCTGTAGTTGAACAACTTCAACAGTCAACCCAAAATGACCAGTTATTGGTCAGGCATACATGGGCTTGGAATCCTTTGGATCATAACCAAGTCGGCCTATTAGAACTGACTAATAGACAGATCAGTTAAGGGTTAAGGGTTAAGGGACAGTATAGTTAACTCGGTTTAACCAGGTTAAAAAAATTTAAACTCTCTTTCTAAAAGAAAAAATAAGTGTAGATGTCCTGAATTCAAGTTGATTATGTTGATAAAAACAATAAAGACCATTAACCAATAACATACATGTGACATTATGTTTAGTTGTTTGAATTTGTTCACCTTTAAAGGTTATTGCCTCTCCAATTGCAAATTATTGCATAAATTTTTAAAAAAGTAATTGTTAATACTTGACCAAACCCATTATCAATTAGACTAGCCATGTCGCTAAGAAGTAACCCAATTATTAATTGAAGTGGGTATGGTCGAGCTCCTTAATCCGGAAAGTAAACATGTGAGATATGGATTTGACATATGGGAATCAGTTTAGGCAATACGTACATGAATCAGTAGAGGCAACACGTACATGCTCTATCTAACCTGATTGCCACCCCTAACACCAACTCATGTCCTACAGCTACCATCTCAGTATACAAGGATGAATCGACAACAACTATGCCCAATCCTGCATATTTTGGTTCTAATCATGTAGGAATTCATCATAATGTCTCAATATCAAATTGTTCAGGAGTTGGCATCCCAAACCGTTGGTAACAAATAGATCAACTAGCATCAGCTCCTACTAATTGACAAAGAACCCCCATCCATCAAGAATCAAGATAAACAATCCAATTATGAAGTTTCAAGTCAATTCCAACGAATAGAAATGATAACTTTAACCCGAACCTTTCGCTGGAAGCCACGGAAAGGTCAAATATTTTAATCAGAAAGCCACAAGTTGCCCATTTTCGAACTCGATTATCTTCCCATCAAATCTTTTTCATAGGAAATAAAACCCTCAAAACCCCCAGACAAAAAGTTCAAGATCTAACTTCATAAATCACCAAAAAAGATCCAATCTTTTAGAAACAAAAACCAAACTAAAAGCAAAACCCACCTCCAAACTTTAGAACCGAGTCAAGATGTCTCATCTTGACCCTCTTCCCGCCCTCCGGCAGCACGTCCAAATCCTCCTCAAAACTCCTCTACCGAACCCAAAAAAAAAAAAAAGAAGAAGAAGAAAATAAATCAGCAAAACCAAGAGAATCAAGAGAGCCAGATAAAAGAATAAACAGATCGATCGGTCCCAAACCTTGGAAGGCGATCGAGATTCATAGGAGAGATCTACGACCACCGGAGGCTCCTCCATTTTGAAACCCAAGAAGCCCTTTTCAAATTTGAGTGAAGCCCAAAAGAATCGGGGATAAAGGCGAGATCTTGGAGGAGAGAGAAAGAGAGGGAAAGGAGGAGTAGGGCTTTTATTTGGAAGGAGGGAGATGCTCTCACTGTTGCTGTGCTTAGGGGTGGTAAACGATCGAATCGAATCGAATACTAAGGTGTTCGTATTTGTATTTGTTTAAAATTATCGAATTCGAATGTGAACTCTAATATTCATATATCTAGTTTTTCGAATTCGAACTCGAATACTTGGTATTTGATAAATATTCATGAATATTCACGAATACTTATCGAATATCAAAGTATATTTATACCGCTAAAGAATTTGATTTTCAAATAGTATTAGAATTCATAAATAAAATGTATTCCTTTATAATATATGATGTATATATATTTAAATTAAAATTTTAATTAGAAAACAGATTTAAGATTATTTAATTCTTAAAATCGGTATATAAAACTTAAGTAGAAATGGTATGTGGGTTAAAAATATGACATCATATGTGCAATAATACAAGTAATAAATTGTGATCAATTTTAAACGAATATTTAATAGACAAACGAATCGAATATACATCTGGTTAAATTCTATTCGTTAGAAAACTCGAATACTAAAAAATATTTGTTTAATGGTAAATGAACTACGAATCGAATATGACCGAATACTTATTCGAACAATTGTCGAACTATTTGTTAATTATTTGGTTCATTTCCACCCCTAGCTGTGCTGCCCCCACTTTCTCTCTCCTCAGCGGTTTTAATTTGGGGATTCCCCTTTTTTTTGAAATTTGTAGAGGGAGTAAGAGAGCGCGATTTTGATGGGCGCGTTCGGATCTCAACGGTGTGCTTTTTTAAGAATTGGGCTTTTCAAATTCAAAAAAGATAAGAGGCCCAAGTGGGCCTCCCGTCCCACGTGACCGCTACAATTAGGCTATTCTTTTACCTTCTGTTTGCGGTAATTATTATTATTTTAAAGGCCTCCTGCTTTGATCATTTGCTTGGAAATCTTCCATCGTCGCAGGCTCACAGCAGGCGCGCAAATGTTTTTTCCCCCTAAATAACCCTCACGATCTCTTGGCACACGAAGATTTTATGAAAATGTCCTCTCTTTTTCTTTCAGATCAAATTTAGGTGACAGTTAACTATAGCAACATACGAAATCCAGGCGAAGGACTAGATCATTTATTTTTGGACCCAAACCTAGGTCCAAAATAAATATGTATGTGACTTGAACATATAGGAGTATTTTACAATAGAGGGCTATCAGCTATGTATAACAAAAGATGATGCCAGAGTTACCCAATGCATGTGATCTAGACGGTTAAAATTTTTTAATATGGCTCCGTGAGAGTTTCTATTAATAGGTATCGAAGTGGAAGGGAGTTTTACAACAATAATAGTAATGTCACTGAATCTTTAAATACTGTAGCATTCAGTTTGCCTTTTACCATTGATCACGGGGACAAACTACGTCAAAACCCCCGTTATTTCACCGAATCAAGCCTCGAGTTACCTCCTAAGTTACTCATAATTCCGGTTGTACTCCAAATTTGGCTGGTAGTAGAAATGTGGAATCAGGATCAGGATGTGTGAAAAGCCTAAGTTCCGACCTTGATTATGGTCTGACCGTGATTTGTATCAACTTACTAATGACGCTTTCTAGTCGTACTCAGTATTTACTTTGATTTGGATTTATTTTTTTATCAAAAAAAAAAAAAAAAAACTACTAAAACTACTACGGATTGCTACTATGCAATTAAAATTAAACCTTCATATTAAAAGTTTTTCATCCCATCTATCTATTGTGGGACATTCACTATGAATGATCTGGATACTTGGAAAAAAAAATCTTCAATGTGGGATTAATTCCTATTTCTTTACTATCAGTCATTTCTTTCCCCTGCCAGCACTCTCTTCTCCCCAAAATGTGAAAGTTAAAAAAGAAGTCCACCAAAAGGTCTTCCATAA